GCGCCGCCGCCGAGCCATCAGCGGCAACACCCTCCGGTGGGGAAAAGCCGCCACGACCACGGCCGCCGTAAGGCCGCAATCACGCAGCTTCCCCAGGGCCCTCAGGAGCGGTTCCAGCCTGGGTTGATCGGTCTTGATGACACCGTACCCCCACTTCTCCGGCTGACTCTCCACAACCCGCCCGGTGTAAGGGGGAAGCCCGCCGTCATCGTTACGAAGGTAGAACCAGCTGTCATACCAACGACGGTTGGATGATGCCAGCTGGGCTGGGATGTAGAGGTGCCGCCGGTCTTGGCGCTTTGAAGGTGCGCCGCTTGCCCTCAGCGCCTTCTGAGCCCCCTTTGCTCTCGCCGACTTGGTGGAAAAAACTGCCCGAAACAAATGGAGCCACAGCTCCCTGGTGGGAGCGATCCCGGTACCCCTATAAGCGGCGACAAAGATGGCCACACATGCGATGGAGTTGGGGCTGAAGTTGTGGAGCTCCACGCCAGTAGTAGTAGTCGGGGCGCCCGCATAAAGCTGGTCCGCCCAAGCAAGCCGAGGCCTCGCTCGTGGAAGACGACGAAGCTCACCACGTAGCCATCACGTGGCCTCGGCTCCGACTCATTCCCCAGAGCAATCCACTCCGGCTCGTCAGAATCGGTGATCGGGCGGAGGAGACCGGCGTCCACCAGCGACTGCAGCTTCTCCACGGTGACGTCGACCCGCTCCCGAGGATCCGCCGGAGAATGACAGACCGCTTGACCATTGCGCGGTGGAGGACGCTGCTACGGCGGTAAATCTCTCTCTCTCTCTCTCTTTCAATCGATCTCTCTCGCCCTTCTTCTCCTCGGCGCTTTACGCTTTTAGCAACGGCTTGGAAGTGGCGAAAGCAAATGCAGGAATGGTAAGGAGGGGAGGGGCGAGGCTCTTTACGTATTTATGCAGGGGTAAGATGAAACCGCTGGGCGACGAAATCGGGGAAGTTTCCCTCAGATCCGGCGCATATAATCCAGATCCAATATCTCCACCCACGTGCCCACCTTCTCCACATTTAATCGCGCAGACGGTTATGTCCCATCCACTGACACCACGTCGCGCAGCAACGGCAGCTCCCGAGAAGACCGCCTCAAAAGACGTGACGGGCGTTGTTAGCCGATGTAAGGGAAATACACCCCAGCCGATTCCTTCCGAGCTAAGGAACCGGGCACCGAGCCCGCTACGGTCCAGAGGTTCGAAGGCTGGGCCATTTATGGTCTCGGCGGCCGCCTCGGAGCGAGCAGTCGGGGACAACTATGGGTGAGCCCATTACATGGCGAGGCCCGAACAAGCGATTGCTTGGGATGCCCTAAGTCATGTCCGAGACCAGCAGGAGTTCTCTAAAGGGATCCCACCGTAGGGAGGCACCGAGCCCCTAGGGCCAATCGAGCAGCCCTCGCACCCGCTAGAAAGCCTTCCGGTACTTTTTGGAGAGCGTCTCTACGACCACTAGCCGACCCCTATCGAATGGGGCACGGGCCTCCACTCGGACTTACCCGATAAAAGCTCACCGAAATGTCACCACCGCTCGCCCCATCGAGGGTAGTACTGGCATGTTTCACCCCTCCTTCCAAGTGAAAAGGAAGCGCGGGGTCGTACAAAAAGCCGGGGAACTCCCGATCGCCCTCTCGCTCCGCTGGAGGCTCGGGGGCTCTTCCTGCAACCTTGCCGAGACCCAGCGGCCTAGGCTCGCAAGCGAAGGGCTCGGCAAATAACCCCTCCTTCTGAGCGAAAGGGATGCGCGAGGGTCGTACAAAAAGCCAGGGGACCTCCTGATCGCCCTCTCGCTACGTGCGGAGGCTCGGGGGCTCTTCCTGCAAACCTTGCCGAGACCCAGCAGCCTAGGCTCGCACGCGAAGGGCTCGGCAAACAACCCCTCCTTCCGAGCGAAAGGGATGCGCGAGGGTCGTACAAAAAGCCAGGGGGACTCCTGATCGCCATCTCGCTACGTGCGGAGGCTCGGGGCCTCTTCCTGCAAACCTTGCCGAGAAGTACACCCCGAGGATCGGAAAAACACGAGGAAAAAGGGCACCGAGCCCGCTACGGTCCAGAGGTTCGAAGGCTGGGCCATTTATGGTCTCGACAGCCGCCTTAGGACGACAGAGTCAGGGACAACTATGGGCGAGCCCGTACATGGCCGAGGCCCAGGCAAGCGATTGCTTGGGATGCCCTGAGTCGTGTTCGAGACCAGCAGGAGTTCTCTAAAGGGGATCCCACCGTAGGGAGGCACCGAGCCCCTAGGGCCAATCGAACGGCCCTGGCACCCGCTAGAGAAGCCTTCTAGTACTTTTTTGGGGCACATCTTTGGACCACTAGCAGACCCCTATCGAATGGGGCACGGGCCTCTACTCGGACTTACCCGATAAAAGCTCACCGGAAATGTCATCGCTCGCGCCCACCGAGGGTAGCCTGGCATGTTCCACCCCTCCTTCCGAGCGAAAAGGAAGCGCGAGGGTCGTACAAAAAGCCAAGGGAACTCCTGATCGCCCTATCGCTCCGCACGGAGGCTCGGGGGCTCTTCCTGCAAACTTGACGAGACCCAGCGGCCTAGGCTCGCACGCGAAGGGCTCGGCAAAAAACCCCTCCTTCCGAGCGAAAAGGAAGCGCGAGGATCGTACAAAAAGCCAGAAGAACTCCTGACCGCCCTCTCGCTCCGTGCGAAGGCTCGGGGGCTCCTCCTGCACCCCAAACAAGCGACCCGAGCTCGCTCTCATGGGTCAAGCAAATGCGATAGAGCGCCTTACTCAACGAAGAAAAAGCCCCTAAAGGAGTAAACTCACTCCTCTAGGGCCTCGGGGGCTACACCTGGCAGGTGCGCTCGCGCGCACCCACCAGAATCGCGAGTATAAAACAAACCCGACAAAAGCCACTGAGAAACAAAAGTCTTGGAAAAACCTCGGGGAGAGTATCCCACACTCCCACCCGAGGCTCGGGGGCTACTGTCGGATACCAGAAAATGGGGTACCCCAAGCAAAGATCGAAAAACTGCTTAGACCCTAAAAACAGAACCAACGGAATAAACAAACGAGGTCTCGGCCGAAATCTCCGATTCGCCCGAGACCCCGTCGCCGAGCCCCAGCAGAAGCAAACGGTTCTCCGACTCGCCCGAGACCGACTCGCCGAGGCCCCCGCGTCGAGGCCCCCTCGTCGAGGCCCCCTCGCCCGGGGCCTCGGAAGAAGTGCCGATTCTCCGATTCAGCGCGGGCGGCTCGGCACCAACCCGTGACCGCCTTTTTGACCAAACTGCTCTCGACCGACGTCACATCCAGCGCCCAACCACTCCGGCAGACGACGCTTGATGGCACGGCCGCGGCGAAGTGACCGGCTACACGCCGGTCGCGTCAACCCCCGCCTTATACGAGATGGCACAGGCGGGGGTTACCGACCACCTGTCTGCCTAACTCCTGCACCAAGGACATCGCAACGTGGGGAGTCGAGCAGGTTCTCAGCAGCCTCGGAATCAGCGGACCGACCACTCCGTCTCGCCCGAGCCCCCTCGACAGGGCCTCGAATTCACTGATCTTACTACGCCTCGCCCGTCCGCCCCGGCCGAGACCCCCTCGGAAGGGCCTCGGACGAATCGGCTGCGCTCCGCCTCGCCCGAGGCCGGGCTCGTCCCACGAACCTCGTCGCCTCCGCCTCAAAAGTCTCTCTGGCAGGCTGTCACATCCGATTAATGCGCTCGGCCGCACCCACTACGTAAGCCACGATCGGCAGTGCGCTGCAACAGGAGCGACGGGACAATGGTCAGATCACCTTTTTTACCATCCCTACTGACAACACAGGTACCGTATCCTGTAGGCGCACGTCTCGCACTATTCCGCCTGATGGCTGCTGAGATCCGCATCTGCACCTGGGTCACTTCTTAGGCCTTGGCACGACAGGCCTCGGCATGATAGGTCTCGGCACGGCTGGCTACGAAGGCCGCCGAGCCTCTGCAATCCACCAAGTCAATAAATGCGCAGCATGTTACTTGCAGTGAAGACCATACCGATTAGACATCTACGGGAACTCCCACGACAACGCCATGCTGCTCTAGGAGTAAATACGTCATCGAATAGTCCTTGCTCCACGTGTAGCTCTCTTATGTACTCCTGGTTTCCTCCCTGCGGCTATAAAAGGAGGCAGCTAGGACCGTTTCCAGGACGACGGATAGAATCACAGATACTCGCACGAATAACACGCCTCGTTCTGTAATTTGATATCACCTCCCCTCACAGAGATCTGGGACGAACTCCCTCTCTCGCCTAGCTTGTAACCCCCTACTACGAGCACCCCGGTGCAAGGAATACAAGAACATCTTCTCAGACTGGACGTAGGGCATCCATTGCCCGAACCAGTATAAACCTTGTGTCTCTTTGCATCTCCATCCGGAATTGGGAGCACGCAGCACAAATTCACTAGTCGGTTAAGGACCCCCGGTTCCGAAACTCCGACACATACAGTACATGTTTTTTCAACAAAAGTAACCGCCATACAAGTTGCTTCCATATCAGAGCCCCATTTGCTTCTGTTTTCATCACCAAAATCCATTATAGGCAACACTACCGTGCTGGTACTGATCGCTGCATCGGCATTGCCGGTGGAACAATGGCCGTCCCTACGCGAGATAGCGGCGGTGTCGCAATCTGTCTCCGCAGGAAGACCAGGAGGCTGTACCTATAGCCGTGCGGAACTCTCCAAGGGCAAGCTGTCAAAGCAAGACAGGAAGTCGTCGGCCATTCCCGACGAGCCGTGAAGCAAGGCGCCGGCGTGGCCATCCTTGCGGTGATGCGGGGAAGAGCAAGCGTACGCGAGTGCCAGTCTGGCGCCTACGTGCGCGCACGGGTCCAGCAGCTTGGCCATGGCCGCGTGCACGAGCCGGCAGGTCGGCCCGTGGTGGCTCCTCGCCGTCGGCGCGTGCGCGGGCACAGGAGGGCAACGGCTCCGGGTCGTAGGCAGCACCAGCACGACATAACAAGTTAAATGTATCCTCAATTGCATCAATCAGCAAACATGTAGAAGCTAACAAGAATCACAAGGACATGAGACTGGCCATGCTTACCTCTCTCTTGAACAACACCTCCTGTATTTTTCCTACTTGCTGCAGGACCAATACGCATAGGCCTGGAAGAACAAGGCATTCCATTCATTTCAGTCATTGCACGAGCTTGCTCTGTAGGATCACCAAATTTCACAAACCCATATCCCTTTGTGCGCATTGTCAATTTATCAGTCACAACTTTTGCACCCTTCACCGAGGGATAATGAACCCTGAATGTCTCTTGTAACAAGTAATCTGTAACATCTGCAGCCAAATCCCCAACGAAAATAGTATAGTCAGGAGTATCATTACGCTTTTCACCAGCACTGGCCCAGTTCAGCCGAAATGTCAACTCAACATTTGGCATCATCTGTCCATTGTATGTCTGAAGAACTCGCTCTGCAGCTGCACGGCTTGTAAATTCAACAAAACCATAGCCCTGAAGCTGTCCTGAATTCTTGTCACGGATGAGCTTCACATTTTGAACCTGAAAAATCATGTAAATATGAAGTAAAGGGTCAGAAAATCATGAATGCATGGGCAGCATACATCTATAAACACCAATCAGGAAACTCAAACTGAAGCATATAAATAGTCTTGGTAAAAAAACATGGCTCAATGGCTGCTAAACATTATTACCCTTGGGTAGAAGAAATAGGCAGGAAAAAAACAGAAAACACCAATTTTAAGTTATTTTACGAGATATACAACTATCGCCAGATCATGCTAACAATTCATGAAACAAAATTTAAAATTAACGATTCAATCACAAATATAGCCCAGAGCTTGATCATTACAATAGGTTCTAGAATCACTACAAACTAACTTAGCCTGGAGCTTCAATCGTCAGCGGTCGTACGAAATTCACAACAAAACTAGTAAACAATTAAAATCTTTATAAACCTTAAAGCAAGACCTATTAGCGGCAGCAAAGGGCGCGTGCGCGCATCATATATTCCGTGAAGAGCAACAATCGAAATCACACGCATCCACCGCCATCAATCGGATCGGGTGACATACCTCCCGATGTTCGCGAAGCATCCAAAGATGTAGTTCTCGTCCATCCAATCTTCAAGGTCCCGATCCAGGCGTCCCGACCTCGTCCGTCAGCGCGAGGCGGCGCCCGCCGCCGGCGCCGGCGCTGGGTGCGGCATGACCACAATGGGGCGGGGATGGGCGGCGGCCGAGGCCCCAAGCGCCAGCGCAGCGGCGCGAGCCGGGAGGGGGTCGGGCAGCCCCGCCGCAGCCATGCGGCGCCCAGCCATCGCGGGCGCGAACACAGGAGGAGCGGGCGGAGTGAGGATGAGCTGCGCCGCCCGCCCGAGGTCGCGACGCCACTGGTACTCCTCAAACCCTAACACGCGAGCCGCGCCGCCGGAGTGTGGCGGAGGGAGGAGGAGACGCGCCAGGGGGAGCGGGAAGGAGGGAGGATGAGCCACGCCGAAGGGAGCAGGAAGGAGGGAGGAGGAGCTGCGCCACGGCCGCACACCCGAAGCCCCCGCACCGCGCGTCGCGTGCCAAGCCCCGCGGCCCTCGCGCGCCCCAACACCGCGCGCCACGTGTCGAGCCCCGCGCGCGACGAGCCCCGCCACCGGGAGCCGTTGCCGCACTGCGCGCTGTGCGCTGCCAACGCCGCCGCCGCCGCCGGATGCCCCCGTTGCCCCGGTCGATGCAGCCGGCCCGTGAGAAAGGCACAGTTTCATTATGGAGGCTGAATATAAGGATAAGGGGTAATTTGGTCTTTTCGCCTTTGTTTTTTCAGATTTTGAATTTTTTTTAATTCATTTATTCCATGACCATCTGACGGCATCCAAACCAGGGGCAAATGGATGATTCAATTCAAAATAGCAAGGGTAAAATTACAAAGTTGAGAAAACAATGGTAAAATCACAATTAGACTCCTGCATAAGGGCAAGAACATCATTTTCCCAATTAAATTAAGCCTAAGATTATAATTGAGGGACCAAACTGACTATTTTGTTTTTATTGAAAAACAATTTCAGTTTCGTCTTTCGTGAAAATATATTTCGCAGACTTTCAGTTTCTTGCAAAATCATTTGCGCTATTGAAAACAGGAACTTCCCTGATTGGGAAGATGCTGCTTATTGGCATTCCGGCACCATTTTAATTACTCTCTTTCCGGTAGGTGATTTGATCTTGACCGCAAAAGTAAGTGAAAAGAGGTCTCAAGTTTGGTTAATTCAGGTCGAACGAACCTTTGTAATTTTTTCAGGTGGCAAACTATGATTAGTAGTCTAAAAGCGTGTACTATTTTATATTAATATTATTGAAGTACTACTAGCTGGTGGCGGCCGTGTAAGGTCCACACGGAATGGGTATATACAAATATGAACTTTAGAAACTGAGATCGAGTCCATTGCAAGGACAAACACGATGGCATACAAATCGGGAATTCATGATCGTACGTAGTGGGTCCTACATTGCTATTTGCTATACCACGGGTGCGTGCAGCGGAACTAACTACACCTATTATGTATTGCGTGCCAAAAATATGGGAAATGCTAGCGGCACGGACGTCCGATGGAAATGAGACGCCCGACTCCTGATTTGCCCCCATCCGCGCACCTCGCCCCCGCAGGCACACCCCTGCCTGTCATGCCCTAGACCGTCAGCCCCCAGCGTGCCGCACGCCACACGTTTGCCGGCCACCGACTAGCCGCACCCCATTCCCCCAATGCCCCTAACTCTTCGAACAACAAGAAACACATGCAATATGAAACACTTGAATGCAACATACGTCTGAATAGATGAAATTAACATCTGGAATATATACTTGCAACATATGTGTCAAAACATATCAACATCTAGATAGAACACTTGCAACATAAAAATACTTGCTGCAACAAAAGGTTGAAACAGATGAAACATTCTTGAACATTCTGTTGCAACATATATGTGAAAACATATTCAACATCTAGATCAAAACGCTTGCAACATGCGTCTGGAAACAGTTGAAACGGTTTGAACAAACACTCGCAACATGCCTCAGAAACACTTGCAACATCCCCCGATCTACCTTTGCAACATGCATATGAAACAATGGCAACAAGCCTCTGAAACAATTAAAACATACATTTGCAACATAGGGGGGAGAGGCCTGGGCCGGTCGATTTCGGCCGACAGGGTGGGATCCAGCGGCGAGCGGCAGCGCACGAACACCACCCAACACTAGCACCAGTGGCGTGCGCGAGCACCACCACCACCAGCGCCACCGTCACCGGGCTTTGGCTTGGCGGCGATGGTGGGGGATGGGGACGGGGAGCGTCATGGATGTCGGGATGGGGGAGCTCGGTTGCCGGGGTGAGAGAGGGTGCCATCAGGGTGGGGATGGCTTCGCGCCGGGGTGGGGAGAGCCACCCACTCCCCGGCAACACCACCGCACGCCGCGCGCCACCTCTATGGATCTTGCTCGTACTCCATGGATCTAACCGGTGTGGGGGAGAGGGCCACCGGATCTGCAGCATTGGAGGCTCCCAGTGAGGACACCGGGGTAGGGAGGACATCGGGCGTTGGTTCGATCTGCGCGGGAGGATGAGTAGTGCGAAAGGGGTAAGGATGGGGAGGATCGGAGGAAGCGAAGGGATAATTTTTTTAATATACATATGGGCGGAAGCAAGCGACGGGGGTGAAAAAGTCGTCCGACGTTTGTGCGGTCCATCGGACACACGACATGTAGCATTTCCGCAAAAATACCATCAGCTAATAGTGAGAAATATTTTAGATTCTCACTAGAATTGCTAGAATGGTTGCCAAACATCATAAGGAAAGAAACAATAATTAAGAGAGAAAATCACTTAAACTAATTCTTATTTTTGTAACTACTCCAAAGAAATATCGCTCAGTCCATATAATTAGAAACATCCAAAGTTCTAGTTTCAAGAAGAAAATATTTCTAATTCACGAAGAAATTCTGATTCATCAAATAAATATTTCTAAAGAAAATCAAGATTCGAAAGGTGTGTATGAGAATCTAAAACCCTACCAAATATGCCCATAATTAGCTAATCCCCTTTCTTGACCGGTCTTATAGCAACTGCAAGAGACTCTCTATACCCTTCCTAATTGTCAGAATAAAGATTTTGATAAGAAATAACATCCAACAACTTTTTAACTAGTTATCTAAAATAGTCATCTTCTATTCCGCTAGCCAAATATAGAGAGCAAGATTGATTCTCTAAAGTGTGCAAAGATATAGAAAAGTTGTTAGGGAGTGAAAAGATATAGAAAATAATTTTTATGCAAATGATGATTCAAAAAGTGAGTTGCAGAAAGGATTTTAGAGATGCTCTTAGCATTGCTACTATATACTTTGCCTCATCAAATCAAATATTCATCTGTTACTATCAAGATAATTTTTTTTTTCAGAAATAGTATTATTTATTTATACGAACAATTTTCGATTGGTTGGAAGTTTTTAACCTGAGTCAGTTTGACTATATTTAATGATGATTTCAATATACCGTTGAAAAAATTTGGAAACAATCAAATTTGACTTTTATGACATTTCACACAACTAAACCGACACAAACAACAAAACAAAAAAAACAATTTGAAAATTAAGACAACAAAAAATATGAGAAATTGCCTGAAAAAACAAACCAAATAATAAAAACAAAAACAACACAAACAAGAAATTTTCAATGAAATGCAAAAATCACAAAAATTCTGAAGATAACCACCTGCAACAAACAGAACAACAAAACCAAAAATTAAAAAAACCAGAAATTTTCAATAAATGCAAAATCAAATAGATTCTTGGGAACTGCCTGGAACAAACAAAGAGAACAAACAATTTCTAGCACTTAGTACTACTTTTTCTATAAATAATACCTATAAATTACTCAGTATATTTTTGGTTGTGCGAAAGGGAGTCAAAAGCTAGTACACCCCAGAATATGCATTATTCTATGAATTGCAAATTGACAAAGATAGAGGGCCTTAAATTTTAACTATTATACCAAAGCATATGCAAAAGAACAAATGATCAAAGTTATAAAATAGAAACAATTCTTATGGATTGCAAATTAACAAAATATTTGATCCTTCAATTAAACAAACATATCAAAATAGGAAATTTTCAAATAACAAATACAATTAAGAAAAAACAAAGATGTTCACATTAATATTAAGTTACGCTAATCCTACCAAGGAATTACACCAAAATAATCACCATAACTTCAAGACAAGTAATGTGTAAATCTAGTATAAATTCATAATAACTAAAATCAGATTCTAGGAGAGAAGAATATGACTCGAATCTTTGTCCATTTCATGAATGCTAGGAAAAATAAATAGAAAGGAGATAAAATCAAAAAATTAGGTAACAGAAAGAAGTTTGTAATCGAGCACGATATATATAGTGATCCTAAATAAATTTCAAGTATTGGAACAATTGATATGTAGATGAACAAATAATCGAATTCACAAAATCCAAAATTTTATTATGGATTGCAAAATAACAAAATATTTGAGCCTTCAAGTAATCAAACATATCAAAACAGGAAAAATTCAAATAACAAGAAAATTGATTAAAAACAAAGAAACATATATTATTCTATGAATTACAAGTTAACAAACATGGAGGGCCTTAAATTTTAAGTAGTATACCAAAGCATATGCAAATACAATTGAAGTTACAAAATACAAACATTTTAGATTGCAAAATAACAAAATATTTGAGCCTTCAATTAACGAAACATACCAAAATCGAAAATTTTCAAATAACAAATACAATTGAGAAAAAAAAAAAGATTTTCATATTAATATAATCTTGAGTTACACTAATCCTACCTAGGAATTAAACCAAAATGATCAGCATACTTCAATACAAGTAAAGTGTAAATCTAGTATACATTCATAGTAACTAAAATCATATTACGGGAGAGAAGAATCTAACTCAAATCTTAGTTCCTTCCATGAATGCTAATTAGGAAAAGGAAATAGAAAGGAGATGAAATAAAAAAAATTAGGTAACAAAAGAACTCTGTAGCCAAGCACGACATATATAGTGAAAACTAAATAAATTTTAAGAATTGGGACAATGCATATCCAGATCAACAAATAATCAAAGTTACAAAAAAAAAGAAAAAAACTTATTTGAGCCTTCAGTTTCAAACATATCAAATTTCAAAAATGTGAAATAACAGAAATAAGTATAATATACTATGAATGTAAATTAACAAGGTTAGAGGGTCTTGTATTAAAAAATGAAACAAAATTATCCATCTAAAAATAGCAAATGTTT